TAAGACGCACCACTTGAAAAATTAGGGAAAAAAGTGGAAAAAACGGGAAAAACGGAAAAAATGGAAAACAGAAGGAAGAGGGGTCACCAAAGGGCAAAAATGTTATATGTACGGATGTACACGGACATACGCACCTTGTCAAGTATATTTCCGCACGCACATATGCTTGTACGTAGGCACAGTTTATACACCCTATTGCATGTTACGCACGCTCACACAAAACCACGCATGTGTTCACGTGTTTACACCAGTTAGTGTGCATATATGCTAATACGCAGTCACTCCTCTGTAGGCATACGCTCGCGGCAGTTGCCAATTGTTCGCCACAAAAAAAAAAAAAAAAAAGTACAAACAAATAGAAAAACAAATGGAAAACGAACGCACAACAAACGGTGCGTGAAAAGGCTAACAAAGGAAAAAAACAGACAAAAAAAAATTATGCGCGAACGCAAGCTACAAAATGGGCATTGATATCAAGCCGCATTAAGCTCAGTTGCACGCTGTTGTGTTAAGAGGCACCAACTGAGCAGTGTCCTACTACACTATATATATTACTAAAAAAAAAAAAAAAAAAAAAAACATATGTTTCTACATAAATCGGAGTTAATACAAATGTTACTTCGCATGATAGCGTCATGCAGGTTGCAGAACAGTTGGGCAAATGATTTATTTTACGTAGCATTTACACAATTGATCAGTTGCTACACATTTATTGTTAAAGCAAATGCAAACGTGAATGTGGACGTATAATTACAAACATGAACACGGAGGTACTTATTTACAAAACTGACACAACAAAAAAAAGGATACACAGCTGAGCAGAGGAAATTTGCTCAATGAGTTACATTTTTTTTTTTTTCCTTCCGCTTCCTCGTTAACGTAAGATGATTGCTGTGTGGACTTGGTTAAGTATACACATGCAAGCTCACGTATTGACATGCTTTAAAAGCTGTGCCACGCAAATGCAACTGATAACAAATGGGTGCATATGTTCACTGGGACACTGCACGGGTGTGTTTATGTGGAGTATGAATGTGGATATGTCGACGCATGCCTTTGCAAATGCGTTCGCAAGTACGTTCACACGTACGTTTGCATATGTACGTTTATGCAGCGCCCAATAGGCAAACACAACGCGAGTGTGTACACGCAAATGTACTCACGCGCTCATATACATATATATGTATACAGATATATATATACACATATACATATGCATATGTGTAAACTTGCACATTCACTCGCTATACACTTCTATGTACACATCTGTGGGCAATTGGGTGTTTGTTTCTTTCCTGTGTGAATGTTAACATTAGTTCTCATCTAACACTTTATATTTTTATGTTTATTTTTTATTTTTTACTTGTTATTTTTTTTTTTTTTACTTCGTTTCACTTGGGTTAACTTTTACTTAAATTTTTTTTTTTTTTTCTACCATTGTAATGATTGAAGTTTTTTTTTTTTTTTTCTTTTTTTTTTTTTCACAACTTTGATTATTTCTTTTGTTTCATTCCATCTTTATGCACTCACTTGTGTCAATGTGCAAAATTGCGTTGTTGCAATTACTCTCTGGGCGCAGTTCAAACGCAGGGGAGATATGTGTGTAACAGAATTGCAAAGAACAGGAAAAAGGAAAGAAAAAAAAAAACACAAACTGATCATTTTTTTTTTTGAAAACAATTCAATCCGTGGAACACCAATATGCACTTTGTAGAAAGTGAATATGCAGTTGGCAAGAAGTGAATATGCAAGTGCAAAAAATGGAAAAATGTATGAGTTAAAATTACACACGTTCCCCCAGTCGTTCACGTGCATTTTTTCTTTTGCAAAAATTAACACTTTGTTCAAACGTGTTAACACGTGTATATATATATATTTTTGTTTTTTGAATTAACAGATTATGCAGGTGCAGAAGTCTTATGCGGGAAAAATTGAAACCAGTTGTTGGAATAAATTATCCGCATTTTTGTAGAAATTATTGGCAGAGTTCAGGTTATTTCCGTTTCTCCAGTCACAGTTCTGTTAGACGCCAAAAACTTTTTTGCCCCAATTTGGTACACCGCAAAATGGTTTAGCACAATTTGTTATTTGCACAGCCATTTATTTTTCCACCCGTTTCGTTGTAGAAATATGCGCTCATGCGCTGGAGCTGGGGGACGGTAAACATGCGAATATTCCCCCTTTGTGTCCTTTGCAATAGGAGCGGGCAAATAATGTGTTCTTTTCTGTTTCAAAGGCAAAAAAAAACAAATTGCAAAAATTCAATGACAGGAAAGACGTATAGGGGATTCAAAAAAAAAAACTATATATTTCTACGCATCATGTTGCCACTGGTATTTAACCCTGCACAAGTGGGGGTATTTTACATTTGGTCCATTTGACCCATTTGACACAGCTTGCAATTTTTTGCCTGCGCGTGTCTACTTGCCACATTTCCTCTTTTTTTTTTTTGGACAATTTTATGAATTTGTTCGCATTAAAAGAACAAAACACCTTTGAAAACAGTTTCAACAGAATAGTGTAATTTTTTTTTTTTTCTTGTGCTGCCTGTTAATGCTGTAGATAACAGAACTAACCAGAATTTTGAAAAAACGTTCGTTGTGCGAACAAAATGGAAATCCTACAACTTCATCTATTTGGAGTTCCAAAAATGTTGGCAAACACACAGGTTGTCCTTTCCCGCGGTTGACGCTTTCGCATTTATTGTGTAATGAGCTGACAACAAAAGCTTTTGTCGCATTATTTCTTTTTAGTAAATTTTCCACAAATGTGGTGTTTGTGAAGGTAAAAAATGTTAGTATTGTTGCTGCGTTTGCCGCTCCTCTGCGTAGTTAAAAATGACTCCCCAGGTTTTATTCTGCCCATTGAATTTGCACATAAATATACACTTGTAAGTTTGCGTTACGGAGGGTGCACTGCTTGCCTTAAACGGCTGCGGGGGAAATGCGCCTTGGCGGAAATAGCTGCGCGGAGACGTTTCCATAAGTGCGCGCACAGTTGCTCGCATGTGTGTGTATATATATATATATATATACATATGTATGTGTTGCACGGCTAGTCATCCCCACCGCGCCATACATAGAACCGTTTTACATTCACTGAAGGCTCCGTAATGAGCAACATAGTTGCACCTGTTCTGATTTTTCTCCATTTTCACACATCATTTTTCATGTTGTGTTAATTCCTTTTTAGCGATATGCGTTGACGTGTTTTTTGCAAGTACTACAATTAGCACTGTGTTGTAGAGGACGTGGTGTGTAAATCATCGCAAAGTGCACCTGCGCATGTACAATGCACAAATGTTTGGGCATTTATTTTATTTATTCATTTATGTTTTATTTTTTTGGCACTTCTCCGCTGGTCTTAACACTTGGGAAAATTCGCTATGTGTGCAAGAGGGGGGGACAAAAATCCCCTAATTTGTGCAGTTACTCCCGGGATGGGCGTAATCGCAAAGAGGGGACCACCAATTTGCAACTCCGTCACAATTCAGTTCAAATGACTAATATGAAACATTTGTGATTTCTTTTTTTTCTGTTTTTTTATTTCCCTATTTTATTGTTGTACTTAAATGCACGGGTGTAAAGACTGCTCGACTGGTTCTCATTGACCTGAATTGATCTAACTGGTGGGTCCCCTTTCGCCACAAAAAAATGGGCAAAAACGATAGGGGAAGCCTCCTAACATAAGAAGTGCAATGTGATGATTTAAGCGACAACCACGTGCGTGTGGTTTTTTTTGGTTTCTCTCTCTTTCAATTGGTTCCAACTTCTATACCATAATGAAGACGACACGCACATTTTTATCATAGCGTTACATACGTGTCTCAAAAAAAAAAAAAAGAAATTATAGCGGCCTTTCAACAAATAGTACATATATACGTACTAACTGGGTGGTAGTAACACATGGGTGAGCAAGTCATCCACTGAAATGGGGCAGCGTTCTATGAATGTCTTTTTTGGTATAAGCTCGATGGGTCTGACAAATTAGTGCCCAGCCATAAAACGGTAATGTATAGCTTCACCCTCATCTGTCTTTCGAAAAGGACCTTTTGAGTATATTTATTTTTTTTTTCCTCTTTAACTACATATTTGAATAATTTATGATAGGGGAAAAAGTCTAATAATTAGTAATGCACCAAAAGTGGCCTGTGTCTGGCTGTGCTCTGTAGAACACACATATCCTACACATATTCAGGATAAAAATGAAAAAAATAAAAAAAAAAAAAAAAAAGTGTGGGACAAAATGGCAGCATTTTACCATCCACCCGAATTATTCCCTACAAATGGAGAGACGGTGAGGGGCACATATACACATGGGTAAATAAACCTACACGACTGCGCACGCAGGTGCTGACCTCCTCCGTACGTACATACGCAGAAGCAATTAAAAAAAAAACAAACAAACACAATTACGAATACTGAAAGATACGAAAGAAAAGTTCACTTCTTTTTCAATAACCGATAAAAATATCATTTCAGCGCACTGCTAAAGTTATTGAGAAGATTTGGCCTCAATATAACTACTTCATCTCAAAATCAAGGCTAGCACAAACAGTTCGCGGCCATAAAATCATTTCAGTTGAAGCTCCGCTGCGGTGACGTGAACATTTTCCATACTGTGCACTGGTGGAAGTACCTACCACGTATACAAAAGTATACGCTATGCCCATATGACATTATGATCGAGTGGTTGTGGTGGTACATATTGGGCGGGTCAAAATATTTAGGACATTATAAAAATTTAGCTATCTCTATGAATGCGTAGCTTCAAATGTAATGAAGTAGTTCATCGGATGGGGAGGTGACTCGATGTGCAAATTTCCTTTTACTTGTTAAAACAATTTTGTTACCCAGTTGGGTAGCAAAAAGGGTTCTGCCTATCGCTGCATCTTATTCGTGCCCATTCCATCTCGTTCCCTTTTGCAAAAACATATACATATCCCATAATGATGACAAATTGTTTACATTTTCATTCTTCCAGCTTGCCCCACACAGGAATCACTGATAGGCATTATAATCATTGGCCTGATAATAATTCCCCACATCACTCAAAGAATTTACATGGCCGATGCTTTCAGAGTTGTTCTGATTTGTTCTCATAAGGGTAGGGTTCAAATTATCATTTTTGTCTGGAATGGCAAAATTGGTGCAACGCGGTTGGTTATATAAACAGGCCTCATTATTTTGAGCTGTTTTATCTGGGGCGAAATAACTCCCATCATTTGTGTTCTCTATATCAGGGGGGTAATCGGAGGGGTAAGGACAACTGATATGCTTCGTCATAGCATTGTCGCTTATGTTGATGTTTGAAATGACACCATCAGAAGGTGTGTCCACATAAGCTTGTGCATTATTGGGGATGTTCAAAATTGGATCTCCGTTGTTCGATTTGATGGCTGTGGTGGGGGAATCTTCATAAAACGAACCGATAGACAGCGGTATACTTTGTTCGTCGTTGAAATGGTGTAAATTTTGTTCCCTGCTTTGTTCTTGGAGTATACTAGAGGATGGCATTACGGCGTTAGCAAACGCATGACCCTCATCAAGGTGTGATGTGTTAGCATTGGGGGTGAGCTCATTCGGGAAGGCATTACCCCCATAATTATTTCTGTTTAAAAAGAGACTCAAATTGTCACATTTGATCATTATAGGCTTGTTATTTTTGATTTGATTTTTAATTAAATTTTTGTAGAAAATGTCTTTTTTGGATAACATGTGGAAAATATTTTTCACGTCATTTCTGTCTCGTGCGCCACTGCCCATGTGGCGATTGCCATGACTTCCAGAGCTTCCATGGCTGCTGGAACTGCTCTTATCATATGTGCAATTGAATACGCTGTTCACACATTCCCCTTCAAAAGGAATAATTGCTAATTGACTGGGTCTCGTCCCTTTGAACAACTCCTCATCCTGCTGGGACAATTCATCATTCCGTATGGCAGTGTTCGGGGGGGTTATGTATTCCCCATTTTTGTTCAACTGGAATGCGTTTTGCTTTTGTTGGTTTGGCTCTTCCGTGGCAAACTCATTTAAGCAGTTTGATATGGCGTCTTCATTGTTGTCACTCACCAAGTTGTAATAGCTTTTTTCAATTTCGGTAAATTTTTTTTTTTTTTTTTCTTTCACTATTTCATGAGGATTTTCTTCCAATTTTCTCTTGCCTGTTTGACAGAGATCAATATGGCATGACTCATGAGAAAAATTATCTTCACCTTTTTCCTCAGAGTGGAGTACTTTACTCCTCTTGTTCACAGAATGTGCAGAGAGATCGCTTAACAATTCAACACTATCAAATGATGTCAACTGTTCAAAATTTCTTTTGGAGCATTTGCGATTTAAAACTTTTTCCCTTTGGTCATTTTCCCCGCTCATTATTTTGGCAGTTGTCCGTGGTTGCTATGAATGACCAATTTGGGGATTCGCCAATTTTGCAGTTTGGCGGCTTTTTTTTTTTTTTTTTTTTTTTGATTTTACGTGGTTATACTACATTTATGTGCTTGTGTAGAGGGGTATGCACGCACGTTATGTACATACTTGTCAAATCTCCACATGGGTGAAATTACCCCTTCGTGGAAATGATCTTCTTGGGTGGAAGTCGATGGGCGCTGGTGGGGGATGTCCCTGTGGGATGTAGTGGTCGTCGTTGTTTTGGCCGTGCATTTGATTAGCTCTTTTGTAAGTGAGTTGTCGCGCTTCCTTTAACTGGGCATTGTCGCGGCTGCTTTGACTGGGAAACTGTCACATTTTTTTTTTTTTTTTTTTTTTTTTTTTTTTTTTTTTTTTTTTTTTTTTTTTTTTTTTTTTTTTTTTTTTTTTTTTTTTTTTTTTTTGCGACCTCCTTTCTACATTTTTGTTGAATACCCCCCTCACGTCACGCTGACGACTGTTGGAGGTGCAAGCACATCGATCGACAGGTGGATTGCAGGCGTCGCGTGAGCTTTGTTGGCACTCCCTCTAAGCGTGAGAGGTTTGCTATTGTGCTTTTGTTCAACTTGAAACCGGTATCCTGTTCCCCTTGTGCATGGCAATAGCTACAGTGCATGCTGGGCGAATATTTTGTGTTGCTCATTCCTTTTTCAAAAAAAGTGAACGATTCGCACTTTTATTTTTTTTACACTCGATACGGTGACTACATGGAGCTCATTTTGTTCGAAAACGTGGAAAATAAAAGAGAAAGGATTAACAGGTGGAGAAACGCAAAAGAGATGGAAAAAAAAAATTTTCCACCAATCGTGTTTCCTATGTAATGCCGTGTAAAAACCTTGTACACTTTTAAGAGACTAACACGGGAGTTAACTATTTTGTTTGTTCGATCGTTTGATGTTTTTTTTTTTTTTTTTTTTTTTTTTTTTTTTTTTTCAAATTTGTGGTTTTGAAAATTGCAACTTGCGTTATGCGGCCATTAACATGACTTGACCTTGGGCGGAGTTTTGCTTAACCCTGGATCAGAACCTTTGTCAATGTATGGAAAGAAGGCAAGTGTGGAGGTAAAAGAATGCACAGCTGCTCGTATACACATGTTCAAAAAACAAAAAAAAAAAAAAAAAGTCTCGTACAACTCACGCCGCGTAACGAAACATATCACTCCGTGCTGCTATCCTCCGATTCATCAGATTGCAGTATGTTCAAATCGTCGTGCACATTTCTGAAACGAGATTCATACACAGTGTTGCCAACACGAATACAAATTCGATTCACATAAATACAAAATTCGTCACTCTCTGAGGTTGAGCTTGAACTTAAATTATTGTCCTCCACAATTTTCCCAATGTCTGGCCAACAGGTATCCCCTACATTCAGTTGGCTTTCTTCAAGCAGGGGTTCCAAATTGATATCAGTGTATGCTAAGGAAAGGTGACATATTCGTTTAGCATACTGGTTAGTGAGACCAAATTTTTTTAAAACCTTTTCTATTTGTTTTAATAGAATATCTAAATGTGTTTCTTGTTGATCGGGCGTGACAGAATATGCACAAAAGTATTTCGTATGCTTTTGGCTTCGGTACAGGTCCACAGAATTTTTAAAAAAAAGGTGAAAACTGCGAAGAGCGGGGGGGGGGGGGGGGGTTTATACATGTGTCCCCTTTATAGTTATGGAATAGAGAACAGCGCAACCTCATGCCAAAATGTTGATGACGCAAAGCAGAGAGACGGGGGTCAGACTTACCAACTCTGTGTTTCGAGTTCTTCCCTTATCTTCGTAACGAACGAAGTAATCATGTGCTTCTTAATTTGCACTGGATCTGCTATCGTTATGTGTATGTGGTTTTTAAATTCTTTTTTGTTACTCTCCTCTTTTGGTTTCTTCTTACATTTGTTTAATGCGTCCAGCTGGTAGAACACATGCTTTGATGCTTCCTCTGCGTTTAATTCGTCTCTCTGGTTATTGCACGGGTTAGTTGCCTTCTCTTTATCTTTGCTTATCTCCAGTTGCTTTTCTACGAGTTTTTGGAGAAGGTCCAAACACTCCTGGGACTTTTTCTTCACGTGATCGTTGGTCTTAACTGGGTTTCGTAGTGGAAACAGGGGAAAGAGTTACAAATGAGTACATGTGAAGACACACATGCGTACTTACGCATATGTCAAGGTTCATTCATGCTGGTCAAGCCACGCAATAGCGCTACCGGGGAAGGGTTAATCCTTTGGATACACACCCCCTTACTGCTTCGGCAGTAGTCGACGCTTCTTCTAGTTCTCTAACCTGGGATGTAAATGTATGAGCTGAAGTCACCTCGGTTTAGCATTTTTCACGCTTTTCACTTATATATATATATATATTTTTTTTTTTTTTTTGCCTCCGCACACCGTGTGGACTCTCTTCCTGCCTACTGCTTTGCTACAGATGAGGGGGCAAAAGTATAATTAAGCGAAGGGGTACGGAAACCAAAGGATACCCCAAATGATTAGAAAAACATTGCAGTGTTGTTAAATGTCAATCCTGTTGCGTTTTACTTCCCGCGCGACTTCGTAGTGACGTAGTGCAGTCGATGTGCATTATGGATAATAATGCAAGTGCGCGCCTCAAAATGAGGCCAAAATTGCGGAACACCTGGAACACATCACCACTTTTTTGTGCAGCTCCTCGTGAACGTACATCTATGTTTCCCTTACTGCATGCTGCGGAGAAAACACATAAATTTTAATGGCACATAGAGGGAAATGTGTTTTCCCCAATTGCGAATAGCCTAATGTGAGCCTTTTTTACCATGCACCTCTCCCCCGTAGTAAGTATACAGCAGTTGCACCTCCGCCCCTACAACCGCTAAACAACTGCAACGTCGGCTAGGTAACGAGTTCCCCTTTTCCCTGTTTTTAATACTCGTTCCATGACACCTCCACGAAATATGCGCGTCCTGATACCCTCCCTTTACATATATGCATTTTTTTTTATATTTTGTGTTAGATTGAAATATGGGCAGAGCAAAAGAGTTGCAAGGGCCAAACACGCGTCGTACGATATACCTCCCAAAGGAACGCGCGTGAAAGACATACTGGAAAAAAGTGCACAACCAAATTGTAATGACCGGACGAGGGGAAAATGTAAGAAGTTCTTTTTTCTCTGGAAATTGGAAAAAATGAGAGATGCACATTTGAGGGGTCAGACGAACGTAAAGAAGAACCACCTTTGTATCGAGTCAGCTACGTATGAAGCGTCCTTGGGTGAACATCAGCTGAAGGAAGAAAGGAATGAATCTCTTACTAATGTGGGACAGGATAACACGGAGCAGGAACAACAGAAAGACCTGCTACTTGTACCAAAGGTTGGAAACAAAATGCCAGAGAAAAAACCTGATTGGTTTCATGTTCCGGCACCCACAGGCAACAAATATAACCAACTAAAATCAGATTTGAAGAAGCTGAAGCTACACACAGTTTGCGAAGAAGCGCAGTGTCCTAACATAGGCGAATGCTGGAATATTGGCACAGCAACAATAATGTTGTTAGGAGACACCTGCACAAGGGGGTGTAAGTTTTGCTCCATAAAAACATCGAGCAAACCGTTGGCACCAGATGCTAATGAACCCTTTAATACAGCAAAGGCTATATGTGAGTGGGACATCAATTACGTTGTTTTGACTTCAGTCGATAGGGATGATTTACCAGATGGGGGAGCTAGCCATTTTGCAAAAACTATTGAACTTATAAAATTTTCAAGACCAGAAATTCTCATCGAATGTTTAGTTTCTGATTTCCAAGGAAATGTAGATTCCATTCGCAAGCTTGCCAATAGTGGCATGGAGGTTTATGCGCACAACATTGAAACGGTTAGGAGGTTACAAAAGTTTGTGCGTGATAGGAGAGCAAACTATGAACAGTCATTACGGGTTCTAAAAATTGCAAAGGAAATCAATCCCATGTTGTATACCAAAACGAGCATCATGTTAGGGTTAGGGGAGACTAAGGATGAGGTTCTTGAAGCTATGTCAGATGTAAGACAGCACAATATAGATGTGATAACATTTGGCCAGTATTTACGGCCAACCAAGAACCACCTTAACGTTGTAGAATATGTCTCTCCGCAAATGTTTGATTATTACAAGGAGGAGGGAATGAAAATGGGATTCAAGTACATAGCCAGTGGGCCCCTGGTTCGGTCCTCCTACAAGGCCGGCGAGTATTTTATGAAAAGCCTCGTAGACCAACGCAGGGGCGCCAAGTTGCATGCACAGGGGTGACGTGGGGACGGTTTCAAAAAGGGGAAGAAAATCATGTTATGTCTATTTAGCAATTTATAGGGTGGGTTAGGGAACAAACTGAAAAAAAAAAACTTGGAAAAAATACGCCCAGTTAAGCCCTTTTTCCTAGAATCACTTGGGGGAAAAAAAAAAGGGGGGGGCGTTTTAAAAAGAAGAAACCGCGACCATCCTAGTCGCACACGCCACAGGCGCGTCTTTGGTTGGGTGAAACTGCTGGTCTCACTCCATCCGCTTCTGGACATTTGGCTGCGTTCGCGCTTGCTTAGGGTCCATTTGGGGGGTATCTTTTTGGCCATTTTTGATGCCCATTTTGACACATCATTTTGACACATCATTTTGACGTCTATTTTTACGTGCCACTTTTTTAAAATACACAAACTTGCAGCCATTGCGAGGGTCGCCTCAGACTAATTGGTGACTCAAATATGAGGCGCACATAGCAGAGTTGGCACGGGTAAACACGTTTTGCTTGTCTATCTCAGGGATCTGTTCACCCCAACTGCATCATTGCTACACTTGGATGAACTCCTGAATGACGATGGACTTCTCCGCAATTTGCCTTATGTCCGGCCGCTTCAAAAGGAGCGCTTTGATTTTTTTCAGCGAAATTTTGCAAGCCTTATTTGCATCCTCCTTTCCACGAAGGGAATGAAGTGGCGCGTGCTCATCACTGGAATCCTCTTCATCATCGTCTCGCAAAAGTGCATTGGTAATTTTGGTGACCTGAACTAGCCAATTCTTATTACGATTATATATCAACAAATTATAATTGCTTTTAAGTTGATGAATTCTTTTCTTCAAAATATCTACATCATCTGTCATCAGGTGGACAATTTCTTCTAAACGTGGCATGGGGCAAGTCTCACCATCACCACCCTCTGTCTTCATGTGAAGGTCGTCCAGTTGATGCAGAATCAAAGAAGCATTACTAATAAATGTATTGAATATACATTCGTTGTGTAAATATGTATTTCTTTGGTTCATCAGGAAAGATAAAATTTTGGAGTCTAATTTCTGCAATATCTTGCTGCACAAATTTTGAAATAGATCATCTGGGAGGCATTTTTTCATCTTAAAAAGATTGCTCAGGATGTACTCATGAAAAATATTATTCGTTGAGAATAAATTATACATTCTGATAGAAATAAAATGGTAAAATGCGTCTAGGAAATTATTCATCATTTTTTTTTCCAGTTGATTGAAGCTGGAAATGGTTTCTTTCAAATATTTCTTGTTTTGGAAAATGGCGAGGAATTTGTTTATCGAGCAGAAGGATACGTAGAGTAGACACGTCTTGCTGCATTCCCCTATCAGATCGTTTATGCTGTTCCAGTGGTGTCTAAATTCGTCCTTGACAATGAGAAGTAGCTCCTTCACCACCTGGTGGAGGTACTCTTCCACAAAGCGGTCGCAGCGGGCAGTGTAGCTTCCATCCTGGGGTTCACCTCCCCCCCCCTCGGCGTGATGAAACAGAGCCATTCGCTTTGTGACCTTTTTCAGCAACTCTATAAAAATGTGGACATACTCACTAACGCAGTCAGCCTCCTCGAGAATGATTTTGTTCTTCAACTTCACGCAACAGTTGTTGGTGGCCATGTCCTTCAAAATATCAACAAGGAAGTCCTTTTCGATTAGTAGAAAGAAGTTTCTCATGTAAACCCCTTTCACCTCGTTCGGCTCTTCCGTTCTTGATTTGAGCAGTTCCTGTATGTTGCGCTCGTTGGATTCGTATGCAACTGTACCGGTAACTTCACCGGTAGCTACATCAGTAGCTGAACTTGTAACTAAACCTGCATCTGCGTCTTGGCTGCCGCCGCTGCTGCTCTCTTTTTTTTGCGCACCGGGTGCGAACTTTTCCACATCTAACACTCGCACAAAAGTGTTATTCAGAAAGTCGTCCAGCAAATGCTTGCAGTTGATCTCGTCATATAGCATCCATTTTTTATACAGCATGAGAACGTTGTGTATGAAATTTAAAAATGCCTTTTTTATTTCACTCTTATTTTCTTCCACATGGTACAGCTGAATGAAGTAGGCACATCGACTCAGTATGTACAACCTGCACTCGGTGATTATTCTAAAATTTAGCTTCCTTATCACTTGTTCGCAATTCGTTATGTCGTATAGGATGTGCTCCTTCTTCTCGCTGCTCATCATGCTGTAGGTCCTGTAAAGTCTTTTTATGTCTATCTTGTCTTCATCGTGTTGGCTGTCCTCAGAGGTGCCGTAGCCGCCTCCTGATGGGGGAGAGGAATCCTGTGTGAGGCTTCGCCGTTGAGCCATTGAAGGGTCTTCACTGGAGCGGCTGCCACGGTGCTCATCGGTATGTTCATTGCTCCTCTCGCAGCTACCTTCATTGCCACCTTCACCACTGCAACCCAGCACGTCGTGCAACGCCTGGCCCATCACCACGCTTCCCTCAAAGTCCCCCTCATGGACAAACTTGAGGAACATTTTCAATATAGTGTTGCTAATCACGGACTGGTAAAACAGGTACTTTAGTCCCCACTCCGGTTTGTCAATTTTGAATAGAGGGCTTTTCTCATTTTGGAAAAATGATCTAAAAAATGTGATTATGGAGTTAGCCATTTGGTCGATAAATTTCACGGGGCAGTCACATCTATGATGAGAAAAATTATCTGCCCTATTTTTTTGGCCCTTTAAATAGTCGTCAATTCTTTGCATCAAATTCCAGCTAATTAGTGTGTGTACAAATTCGTGGCTTTCCTTCTCGAGGAGTGAAATGTACGTGCTGTTGAAGATGACGGCACTTTTGATTTTTTCCTGGAGCATTTTGGCTTTGTCCTCACTATGGTTATTCGATAAAGCGGTGTCATTACCATTCCCTTCAGTGGTATACTCGTGGGGTGTTCCACCTGCCGACGGTCGTTTCTCCGCGAAGATGGGGAACTCCTGTTCAGCATTAAACGAGTACTCATCATCACCATCGGCAAAATCGTTTAGGAGTTGCTCCAGTGCGTTGGTTAAGACATTGGAAATGTTATTACCCCACGAAATGCTAGAGAGTAAAAACTGAGTTCTACTCATGTAATATTCTGTTAGTATGGGTAGAAAAAATTGAATCCCCTTCGCAATTTGTTCCTTACCGTTTTTTTTAAATGAGTGAAATTTCCTGGTAATGTCTAAAATGATACTCAACGTTTCGTCGTAATTTCTGCTGACTGCACATTTCTTTGCGTAATCAAGTCTGATTAAGCTATTTTTTAAGATTACAATGTACTCTTTTTGCTTGGTTAATTTTTGTATCATTTTCATTTCGCTTATCATATGTTCAATAGCATTAGAGCTTCCTTCCGTTTCTGTTTGTAAAATTTTATTTTTTGCTAACTCCTTTTTGATTGAGCACAAATTGGACAGATTTTCCCTCCCTATCCTTAATTCCTTCTCGGCACTCTTTTCCAATTTTCCATTTATTTCTTTAATTTCGCGTTGACTCTCATCAATATACGTGTCGATTGTTCTATAGACCTCTTGTATATTCATATCTTTTAACTTGTCATATGTTAAGATGGTATTTAGTAGAGTTATTTTTTGTGCGCAATGTTTTAAATTTTTATTTTCCTTTATCGTGGGTTCTATTTCGCTATCACTTGTGAATTCATCAGGCGAATCATGCTTTCCACAATTTGAATTCTCCTCTTCAGGACGGTAGCTACTACTATGTTGATAATAATCTGGGGAAGGCGGTTTAATGATACTTCTCCTTTTTGTTTTCTTTAGCTTCCTCTTTAGGAATTCTAACAGGATTTTTTTAATTTCCTCCTTTTCTTCCCTGTTGTGAGTTGTTTCGTTTTTCCCCTTATATGTATGTAAAGCGTTTTTTAAAACATTTTCTATTTTGTTTCTTTTCCCTTCCTCATTGTGTACTTTGTGCTCCTTCTTCTCCTGCAGTTTGTCCCTCCGATCGAAGTAACTTGCTATGAACATTTTTATTTCCTTTTTTTGGCGTTGTAAAGATGTCTTTATGGCTCTACGGTTTTGTATTCATATTTGGCTTAAAGGGAATCTCCATGAAATTGTTACTTGTGTCTAATTTTTGGCTCGCTTCTAAAATTCCTAACATATTTCGCAGTTCGCCTACCTTGTGAACATACGTAGGCCGATGTGCCCCCTTGCCTGCTTATTGTGTTGCAGCGAAGGGGGGAGTGGGTACAAAAACGACCGCTACTTTGGCGATGGTCGAATACGGGATCCCTTTTACATATCGAAGGACATATTGCCTTTTTGTTGGGGGGGACATGTCCCTAAACGGGGGACTATTTTTTTTGCACGTATAATGAAAGTGCTATGTAAGCACACTATGCGTACAAGATAAAATGCAATTTAAACGGAAAAAAATCATCACCAAGCGGTGACGTAGCAAACGATGCTCACGTTTTTATGTTGTGCGCAGCCGCATTGCTGCTACGTGAGCTGGGAATAATTTTTTTTTTTGTCGCTTCCATTTTGGCCTCTTTGCGCTTTTTTCAAATCAAGTCGCCCCTATCCCGGTGTTCAGTAATGAAAAATGAAAATGCATATATGCATAATAGCAAGTGCGATAAAACCCGAATTGACAACTTCGGTTCATTCTTTTACCCATTCGTTATAGCACCTTTTGTCGGCAGCGCAAGCACTCATGGTACATATGCCTGTTGCACGGCTGCTCACACTTTGCATATATTTCCAAAGCACCGCATTGGTGAAAGAGCACGTACATGGAGGTGAATAGAACAGAATGACTTAAACGCGCGAGCGCCGATTTTTACAAATCAGTTTTAAGTGTTGTTACTTTGCTGCTTTGTTACATAACTTTTTTTTTTTTTTTTTTTTTTTTATCTTGTGCGAATTTGTTCTCAAATGGGTTAGCCTTTCCGTTTGTGTTGCACGCATGGAGGCCACAGAATAAAATAACTGCAGGACGGATTGTCACACCTATCCTGAGAGTTGATGCTCCCCTGTAATTGGCGGTTTATTTTTTGAATGCATTTTCCGTAATTAAGTTATTCCCCTACATTTTGTTCATCACTTAGGAGCAACAATTAATAATGTCTACATTTTTGCCACTCAAGCACAGTTAAAGAAAAAAAAAGAAAAAGCGCTTCCTCTCCTTCGCATGTTAGCTTTGTGGAAGTTTAAAATTGGCATTAAGTGAATGTTGCAAACTTACTGAAATTGTGATTACTTGTCATTTGTTGTTCTCTCTATCTTGAACTTTGTAACTTTGTTTTTTTTTTTCTTGCCGCACGTGTAAAAATGATGGAAATAGGGGGCTCACTGGCTTTAGCGTTCACGCTTTTATTGGCTGTAGTTCTGGCTCACATAACCAGATGTAGGAGAAAAAAGAAATTAATCGTCGACAGAAAAGGAGAGCTGAACAGCAAGTACAAAATCGATTTTGATTTAATTGCACAACGAATGAAACTTAAGAATGTAATAAATGTGGATGACATAAGTGACGAGGAATTGTTAGTCATTTTGTTCACCGCGAAGAAGTTTGAGTCTTTGCTAAAAAATAAGGAGGACACCAAATTCCTGGACAATAAAGTTTTCTGTAGTATCTTCCTGGAGCCTAGTACAAGAACTAGATGTTCCTTTGACTCGGCAATTCTGAGACTGGGTTCGAAGGTGATAAATATTACGGACATGAATTCCACGTCTTTTTACAAAGGGGAAACTGTCCAGGACGCGTTTATCATTTTGGCGAAATACGTGGACGGGATTATATACCGGGATCCCTCGAATGTAAGTGGTGTGCGGTTTTTGCACGAGTTTGTTTCACTGATACAATTTCTGTAACCCATTTACCTCACCCATTCATATATCCATTGCTCCAATTTTCAACAGAACAATGTGGACCTCGCCGTTGCCTCATCGGACAAGCCAATCATCAACGCTGGAAATGGAACAGGGGAACACCCGACGCAGTCACTCCTAGACTTTTACACCATATACAACTACTTCCCACAAATATTGGAAAAAGACATAAACCAAAAAATAAACGTCGCCTTTGTTGGAGATTTAAAAAATGGAAGGACTGTCCATTCGCTTAGCAAATTACTTAGCAGATATAATGTCAATTTTAATTTTATATCATGCAAGTCGTTGGACATTCCCAACTATATTGTCGACATTATAACGAACAATTTGAAAAGGAACAATTTCTACCATAAAAATTCTATCAGAAAATATGATAATTTGGAGAACGGATTAAAAGACGTGCATGTGATATACATGACGCGGATACAAAAGGAGAGGTTTACGGACTTAAACGAGTACAATGCGTATAAGGACGCCTTCATTCTGGATAACAACGTTTTGAAGAATACCAGGATGGATACAAAGGTGTGTACCAGCGTTTTGTTCCCCACGCAATTATTAAGGGCGATTATATTTATTTGAGTTTTGAAAAAATTCAGAGCGAAACAGAAGGGCTGCCTCCAACGAAAAAAAAAGGAAACCGCTACCTTTTAAGCGATGTCAAAATTGGGCATGCCTTTTGTAAAGCTGCCCTGTTCATGCGCGTTCAGTTGGCATACAAGAGGTGTATTTTCGGCGCATTGAAATATTTCACCTTTTTGTTATATTTTCTTCCCCCTTTTGCAGGTCCTGCATCCCCTTCCCAGGGTTAACGAAATAAATGTCGAAGTTGATAACAATCCCAAAAGTGTGTACTTTCTGCAGGCCGAAAACGGGTTGTATGTGAGAATGGCCCTGTTGTATCTCATTTTTTCGTAAAATAGCTAGCTGCAAAAAAAAAAAAAAAAAAAAAACAGGCGACAAAAATGGCGAAAAGAGCAGCAATCCTATTTTTCCATTTTTCTCCAGAACATTCCTTTTTTAATTCCCTCCGTGGATTTTCCACAACTTAGTGGACAATTGGCTACTATGTGTGTACATCATGGCCCACGAATTTTCCCGTTTTGTACGTTTTTTATGTATATAATTTGGGGCATGTAATTCAGCTTCACAAGCGTTTGTTCCTTCCCCGTTTTATTTATTTATTTATGCGTCTACAATTATCAGCAGCAGAGATTAATTCACTTTAAAGAGAAATGCTCACCTTTCTGTGCATTTATTAAATGCCGTAAAGGTGACGCCATTTTTGCGCATAAGGCAGTAGCACAGGTCTGCCCTTTTTATGTAGTTCCCTTTTTTTTTTTTTTTTTTTTTGTACAAGCGGGAATTCTTTTCTTTTGTAATATTTTCTTATTTTCTTTATTTTACCCCCCATTGTAATACATCCCCCTTTTGCGCGCGTACATTTGTACGTACCTATTAGCACCCCACACGGTGCCACTTTGCGCTTACACATGTCCTTTTCGATCATTAGTGCAGAAGTCTCCCCATTGAGCGAAAAGAAGCCAAGGGGGAGAGCGCTTTAAAATGTAAACTTGTCTAATTAGTTATGTAAAACATAGGTAATTATATGACCCATATGTTCGAAGGTGTAAAAAAGGTACACACCGTGCATACATGCATAAAAGGTCGCGTCCGACACACAACATTTTTCACTTAAAAGGAAATTTCCGTTTTGTTTTTTTAAAAGGGAGTAACTGCAAAGGTTATGGCTTCCGCTCAGGAGTGATCTCCCCATAACAACGTTTTTATGTCTAGCGGAGTAATGGGACCGATATGTAAATGGTAAGTAGAGCATTTCACTGCTGCGCCGTTTGCTAATTACTTTTTTTGTGCTATTTTAGAAAGGACCAATGTGATAATTCGGGCTTGAAAAGAAGGCAGACATTTGAATGAGATCATAATCCATATTTTCGTGCAACACCGATAAAGTAAAATAAAAGGGGGGCTATATATTCGCTAGTGCAAAAATGATAGGATCGTTCCCTTTGCAACACACATAGGTGTATGCATTATACGTGCGCTCGAATTGCCTACGCGCTTTAATTAAATACACATGTTGATTAGTTTATGCGTGCGGTCATATTCCCCTGTTCGAATACGTCCTTAACCTTGTCACCAATTTGGTGCATTTTACAAAAAAATAAGAAACAACTGCTATGTGTTCTAAGTCGGGAAAACGCAGGACCGGGAAAAACAAAATTCAGAGAGTGATTGAATGAGCCTTTTCGCGACGCATGTGCTCACCTACACAAATACACACACGCGCCTATTTTCTAGCCATTTTGTTCCCATGCTATGCACAAGTTCTTTTCTAATTCCTTAAAGATGCCCCCATTAGCCTATGTTCCCACTTACCGGACGAAGATGTGTGTGTATTGTGCGCATCTATTAGTACAACACAGATGTGTGCACACTATATGTATTACCTGTGTGTTGAAAAAATTTCTTTTTTTTTCGCGGTTCTCATTACACGTAGTGATCGTGCTAGCGAACCGAGTAGCTTAGCCCAGTGATTCAAATGTTATGTTCTATTTTTGATCTCACTAAGGTTTTCTCCTCATCCTTTTTTTACGGCTAAAAGTTTTACAAGTGTTGCCTCACTGTGTTGGTTAATACTGATAGGAAGAAATTCGCATACCTTTTAGCCATGTAGAGAAAAATATTAACAAAACAATAATACATTTTATGCGGCTTGGTAGTGTATATATATGTGCGTGTGTATTTTATTCTTTTTTTTTTTTTTTTTTGTTTTGTTCATTTTCACACCTTAACGTTTCTCCAAAATTGTGATTTCTTTTTTTTTTCTCAAGGTTTGGAAAAACGCAAGAGAAAGGGAAGCCCCCCCGAAATGCTAATATATTGAATTCTTTTTTTTTCGTAAGAATGGTAATGTTAAAAATTTGACAATGTTTACCTGTCATGTCCCCATGAACAAGCAAGCGTGTACTACGTATGCATCCGTACGGACGTAACACCTTCGCCTTACATCATCCTGCGCCCTGTTCCATTCAGTTGTGTATACATTCTTCCGCCCACGCATACATAACCCCGCGTATTGGCCGAAGCTATAATAAACCGCACTTTCGAGTAGCACATAATTATGCAAAGGGCAAGGACGTGTTCATGCGATTCACGCGTTTTAAGCTTTTTTCTTTTTTTTTTCACCCTGGCGACAAACAAAAAAATTTAAACTGGGTGAATGGTCACATGGTATGTATAAGTACCTTTTTACATATTTGAAAGGATTTATAGAGAAAGCTAAATGTTTTGTGTAGTGTTATGTACGCATTCACATACGCATTTGCATACTCATACGTGTGCTCACTTCCTCCAATGCGTGTATTTCGCAGAAGTTCATCGCAGATAGTTAATGATCACGAATTATGCTTTCCTTTTTGAATTCAAGTTTTATATGTTCACAATTTATGTTCCTTTCTTTTTTTCCTTTTTTCCCCCTTTTTTTGCATATTATGTGTTATGCTTTTATGTATAAAAGGAAGCCTCATTTTTTTTTTTTTTTTTTTTTTTTTTCCCTCCCAATTTTGTGTCATGCATTTTTGCACACGTAATTTTTAAAAACTTTTGTCTATTTTATTTTTATTTAACGTTAGTTTAATTACATGACGGAATAAAATGAGGATATTGAAAAGCTATAGCTGTATGTGTAATCACTCGTATTTTTTACATTAAGTTATATAGGTGTAAACACACAAAGTGGTGAATTTCCCCTACAAAAGAGTGTGTAAATAAAAAAAGGGAAAAGGGGGATAGCAATGTTTTAATGTTAATGAGAAAAAAGGAATTATTTACATTCAGCGGAGCTTAGAAGACGGATCAGTGGACATACGGGCAAGCTGAGCGGAGGCTAACCTGTGAAAAGGGAAAAAAATACAAGAAAAAAAAAAAAAAAAAAAACAGTTCAATTGGTGTGAAGTTCACAGCAGGTCAGGGCAAGGACACACTGAACGCCATGCCCAGGGGGAGGGAAATTAAAAATTCTGTAACGAGAGAACTCGGGGTAGGTGTACCAAATTGAATGATACATACTTTTACCATTTGGCCCATCAAGACACCGTCGCCGCACGCCCCATGTGTGTGCAGTTTGCTCAAAGGAAACATGAGATCTGGTTAGTAGATATAGACATAAAAACACATAAGTGCGTTTTTCCTTGTTGATGCATTTGTGCCCAGCTCGTTTTGCAGAAGGTGTAACGACCGGAATTGGTAGGATTGTCTGTGTGCACATAGACGAGCGAATTTGTGTGTGTGTGAAGAAAGTGCACCGACGAGGAAAGCGGGTGATAGGTGCAGCGTGAACAGCAAGAAGGGGGGGAGAGTGCGCGAAGCGTAGAAAGGCGTCCAAGGCGCAGTCGCAAACGTGCGTACGCAGACAACTCACTTGCGCATAAACATGCCCCCATACGCGTGTCCATACGCACACGTGCATAAGTTAAAATGACACCTCAGAAAAGCGTACGGTTCGATATAGAATACCATGGAGATGTGTACGATGTGCAAATTGGGAATGTAGACGGAAGGAACAACGTAGGACGTCTTGGGAAAAATTCTGAATCCATTTTAATAATGCCCTCCCACATGAACTGCATCTACTCGTGCAGATGTAATGATTCGCGTGGCGATCGGGACAGAGACAATTTCTGTGAAGGAAAGGAGCATCGCTCCATGTTGCGAATAAGTAAGGAAGGTAAAAGCGATTTGATGAGAAATAACTGTCCGATGAGAAGTGCAGAGCTCTACAAGGTAGATAACAGAAGGTGTAAAAAGGTCATTAGTGAGAAGGGCTTCCCGAGCATCGATGATGATACCAGCGAACGTGTTAGATTCTGCGAGGTGTGCCTCCATGCCGGTACCATTGCAGAATGCAGAACCCCTGGTAAATGTAAAGGCCCAGAGGAATATCTCCATGGAGGACTTCTTACCCGAAAGGGAATGAAGGTACCCACCCACGAGAGTAACTGCCTGGCAAATCAGCAGAGAAGAAGTTGTAGTAGTAATAGTTGCCCAGGAGGAAGTGCCATATTGAAGTACCTGAAAAAAGGGAAAAAAAAGAAGAAAAAGAAAAAAAAAAGGAAAAGAAAGGAAAAGTCAAAGGGAAATATTTCTCTTCCGTTTGGTGGAGCATCCAAAATGGCAACACTTTTGCATAAAAAAAGTGTTCATTTGGGGCATGATAAAAATTTGAACAATGACAATGGGGTAGTTGTCTCCACACGAGAAGAAAAAAATGAAAATGTGATGGGGTTATCAAAGGGGAAGCCTGTCAACAGTTTAGAAGGGGCAATCAGAACCAGGAGCTATGGGAAAGAGAACGCACCCAGGATGAAGCCGCTTCGGAGCTGTAGAGGGCGCAGAAATGTTTTTAGGTCCCATTTAAAGCTACACAGACTGAAATGCCGGAGTATGAAGATAATAGAAAAATTAAAAGACGCGATGATAAAGGAAAATATAGCTTACAACAAGAGAGTGATGACTCTTAACGGGGGTCACGAAAACGGGAGGTCTCTTTCCATCAAGGGAAAGGAACGGGACCCTGATAATAAGGGTGTTAATAATAACGGTGATTGTGATAATAATCGTAGTCATGGAAATGGGGACCGAGCGGAAAGGGGTATCGTTGCCAAGCGAACAAAAGGTACCTGGTTGAAGGAAGAAGATTATTTAGTATACAAATTTAGAAGGATATTAAGGAGGTACGTGAAAAAATATCTTCATAAAAAAATTATAAATTTGAAGAATTTCCGTCAGGCGAAGAGAAACATAGCGAATGAGAAAAAGGTACACACCTTTATCATTCCATCAATGTCTGATCGTAATCATAAAAAAGTTTCTAATTATTGCAGTTATGTAGAAAAATATGTGAGGAAGTTTTTCCATTCCTATTTTGTCACGCTAGTTAATAATTTTTTTAATAATTTCTTTTTTCACTACAAGAGGAAATGTATGAAAAATTACGTTGGTAATTTTGGGACAAGGGGGGAGAAGCTCGATGGTGAAACCGCTACCCATCATCAACCTTTTTATCACTCCAGATTTGTCACTAAGGACGACAATGTGGCATGCAGTAGGGTCATGTGTTCCTCGTGCCTTGACACAAGTATGGAAAATTGCGCTCCCTGCAGTGGGAGAGAAGATACTACCTCGAAGGAGGTACAGAACATGTTGGAGGGGAGAAACTCTTTGCGTGTTTTCTCCCTTCCGAATGTAAATCGCAACCTAAATGAGGGACATGGCAATGCTGAAAAGGATCCCTACTCTAGTTACAGAAACAACTGTTGTAATGGGGAATCTTCTGTTCTGGTGTCTGCGGAGGAGAGTAACCCATCTGGCAGCGTCTTGAATAGGCTGCATGTCGAGCGTTTCCAGAAGGAGAAAAGAGTTCGCGTTAGTTCAAATCCTAAGAGGAGGAACTCTCTGTGTGGGGATTTGAAGCCTGGAGCAGCAAATAACCCGTTGGAGAGGGGTAACAGGGGCGGAGTGCGAACCGAGGGGCGCGTTTGCGGCAGTAACGACTCAAGTGGTAATAGCGGCGAGAGTGGCAGCGGGAATGGCGGGGGGAGTGGAAGTGGGAATAGCGGTGGGAATGGAAGTGGGAATAGCGGTAGGAATGGAAGTGGAAATAGCAGGGACAGTGACAGCGATAACCGAAGTGGGAGCAACGGCGGAGACAGCGGCAGCAAGGATAACGGAGGCAGCAGTGGAAACGACGGTAACAGCGAGGACAACAATGAGGACCACAATAAAGACAATAATTACGACAGTGGAAACGACAGCAGCAACGACAGCGGTAATGACAATGTGAAGGAGAAAGGCACAAAGGGAAACAACCGAGGAGGGAATGCACACCCGGATGAACCAAATGAGAAAAGCGGCGTCATTACACACGATAACGAGCACGAAAATTATTACAAGCTAATTAGAGAAATTGAGTTTTTGGAAAATAATGAAAATGCAAAGGAGAGCAACTGGATGAAGAAAAAGGATTCTATAGGTATAATTCAAGGAGGGGATGAACAGAAGGGAAAGTTGGGTGGAGTTGAGAATAGCGGCATCAAATTAGACTCAGGAGTGATGGAGAAGGAAGAGGATGCGAGCATGAAATTGGAGCGAACTGGGGAAGACAATCAATTATTAAACTTAAATCAAATGATAATTCACACGACCAATTATGTGAGTCAGCCGTTGAAATTGCCTCTTCTACCCGAGATGAGTCACCCGAATTCGTATGCGTCTCTTTCCCCTCGCAACAACACGTGCGGGAGTAGCAGTAGTAGTAGCAGCAGCGGAAGTAGCGGAAGCAGTAGCGGTAACAGCAGCACGAATAGCAGTGGGAGCTGTAATAGCCAGGGAGGAAGCAAAAACAACATGAATCAATTGAATGACCCTGATTTTGAAGAAGCGTGTGATATTAGACTAATGAACACTCCGGAAAATATGAAATTTTCACAGTCTCCTCCAACAAGCTCCCTACATGCGTCGTCCTTACATCTAACCGATGTGAATGAATTAGTTCTTTCTCCGAATCAGCAGATATATACGAATAGCCCATTAAAGTCACCCAACAGCACGCCCTTAACCCCTGCGTCTCCCATTTTTGATTCCAATTATAATGAAGAGAACATGGAAAAGGTGAACTCCAATTATTTCGTTTCCTCCCCATACAGAAATGACATTTTCTCTGAATTCGATATGCTTGGTTCATTTTTTGAATCACTGGATGAATTGGAAAATAAAAGTGACTACACGGAGAGTAGCAGTAATGAGAACTCCAAGTTTAGTCAAGACTTTTCGCTAGATGTGTGTGGTACGAAAAAGGGAGAAAAAAAAGGAAACATACAAAAGGATGAAGTCATTTATAACTTTAAGAGAGACAATTATAAGAAAGTGTTCCATGCATGGTGCAATAAAGGAAAACACGAATTGAATTATGATAATAAAAAGTTCAACTCCATTATGGAGTGGATAAATTATATAGAAGATCTCATGTCCCATGAAGGGCAAAATGACAACAAGGGTGACCAAGAGGAACAGCGACAGCCTCTTCAGGAGCAGCAGATGGAACCAGACTTGGGAGAACAGCTAGAGGAGGAACAGTGTGGTCTCCTTCAGGATATGGAACATGAACTGGAGCACGAAAGGGAGCAGGAAGATATTATCAAAATTGGTATGAGCCCGAGCTTTTTTAACGACGAAAATGTGTACCAGGTGAGTAACAGTGCATTTCACAGTGATGAGTATATTTCCGTGGGGAAAGAAAATGAAGGGGGAAGCGGGGAAGTTGATTACACTGTTAACAGCGGGGTCGACTATCTGGTGAGCAGAGGTGTTGATTACATGGTTAGCAGCATGGCCGATTATGCCGTCAGCGGCGGCGGGGACGACTGTGGTAATGACCAGGAAGAGTATTACAAAGACAGTGGAGATAACTGCACCTTGAAGGAAGAGAACAAGTGTGATAATTTCTTAGCTAAGCAAAATGTAAATGTGATGATGAACACCCCTGAACAGTGCAACAATTCCTTCGTAGCAGATAATTTAAATGCATACCAGGCAAATGAGACAGGAGGAGGAATGAGCAGCCAGCATAGTCACTCTGCTCAACTCTCCTCATCATTAATAAAGCCAAATTATAATGCCAATCCGTGCATCAGTACTTTTCGGGGGGAACTGAATTTGCTGTCCGAGTACAACAACGCGGAGGATAATATCACCTACAGTAATAATGACACCAGGCAGGAGGTAGGAGGCGATTATTTTCTCCCCTCAACGTTGGACGACGCGCAGATTCAGAGCGGCTCCTGTGGTGTGGGCAGCAGTGGCTTTGTGTGGAACAATGGCGCAAGTGGGGCCGAGGGAAACGGTGTAGGGAACATCACCGAAAACGTAGCAAACGCTGTGGATAACCCTGATGGGAAGCAGCACGCCCACGTGCCCCAACCCGTCGTCGCGCAGAACACTTTTATGGGCCCGGACGAAGCGGAAAAGGTTGGGACGCAGAATGAAAAGCACATGGCTGACAGTGGCACGGCTTCGTCAAACTGTGCTGATGTTCAAGATCCATGGATGACTCAGTGAGATGGTGACGTTTTGGCAAAGCGGTTGCTCCTTTGCGTGAATCAGTTTTTCACCCTGTGATGTTGTAGCAATCTTGGGTCCCTTTTGAGGTTGTTTCAAGCAAGTCTTCGCCCCTTTCGTGGTGAATTGAAAAAAATTCACCCAAGCCGTTGCTGTATTATGCTTCCAGCAGCGATATATGGTACACATTTGCTTGCCATTCGTTTCTGCCCATTTTGCTGCACTTGGTGTTATGTTTCCCCAATTCGAACGCATCCCGTGTCGCCACCCCTACAGCGGTTCGTTCGATCTCCCGGTGCGTGTTCACATGTATGCAGTGTGGCTGCTTAACATTACTATGTTAATTATTTAGGGAGTTATGTGAGTGCATATTGCATCGCACGTTTTTTTACCACGCCTTTTATCGCTCGCTTTTTATGACACCTTTTTTTTTTTTTTTTATGTCTCTCAAGCATACGTTTCACCACACCAGTGTTGCTGAGCCGTATATGCGTCTACACCCCCTTTTGCGTATGCCTCCAATGAGAAAAGTCCACGCTTTTTTTGCATTTCACCTTTTATTTGAAATGTTATAAGTTTATCAATTAGCACATTTAAAATAATTAACACATTTGAATTTGTAATTAAAATTTGCGTTGCTTTATTCTTTTTTTTTTTTTTTTTTTTTTTTTCTTTCCTTTTATATATTTTTCCTTTTTTTGTGTTCCCTTTGCAAATTTTAAAACAGAAATAAACTTGAGTAAAGAGAAAAAAAACAAAAAATAAAAAAAGCATGAGTCTAATTTTTTAAAAAAGAAAAGACAGCAATGGGATGTTTTTGCATTATTGCCTATTGTGTTAAGAGGACGGTAGGTGGATACATGGATAAGTTTTTTTCCACCCTGAGATGATATTTTCACTGGTGAGGGTGTCACCCCTCTGGAGTTTGCATTATCCTGTATTTTTGCTATCGTTAGCCGAGAAGGGGAAGTCGTTGCGTCTGTATTGTACGTACACCTCAAAACGTGGAACATGTTACCTGTACAAAATGAATAGGCGCATCGCTTATTCCTCTGGGGTGTTTTTTTTTTTTTTTTTTTTGTTTGTGAGCGAATGCTGCTCTTGAAGGACGGTGTAAATGCGAGAGCGCCTTAATGAAGGAATTTTTTTGAGGAAGTCTACAAGACTTGTTTTTTTTCCGTCCCCCGGAATGAGAAAATGTGTGCTGGTGCATAGGTATACATAGGGATATTGTTGCACCTGTTTCGTCTCGATATATGCGCAGGTACGCTTGCAGTCCTTATTTTAACATTAATTCGATGCATTTTTTTTTATTATTGTCCTGTTGTTGCGTTTTTGATCCCTACATTGGAAGGTGCCTTTGAACTCGTTATTTGATTTAAGTGCCCTTGTGCATGCGTTTGTTTGCGCGGGTGGGACATTTGCTCCCGTCTGGAGCGAGTTAGGGGGGCAAGTGAAGTGAAAGCTGAGCAGAGGCGGTAGAGCGGCAGCTATCTCTCATCTACAGCGGCAGAAGAACCGGTCTCGGCATCGCGCACACTGCCCACACACGTTTTCCCCGAATGAAGCACAAATGAAGAACCAGGAAAATTTACACAGGTAGGTGCTACTTTACTCTCCCCCGAAAAATGTTCAACCAAGTGAACCTACAGGGTGAAACCCCCCGCCATCATCCCATCGAAGCGAACATTCTCTTCATCGCAGAAAATGCAAAGACCAAGCTGAGGCCCAATTGGAAGAGTTTAGAAAAGAAGCTTATAGTGTGATTGAGCATAAAGACAAAATTATAAAAATGTTGTGTGCAATTCTGGAGGTACAAGGGATAACAACCCTAAATATAAAGAAGTTCATATCTGGTAGGAGCAACTGATTTTTTCAAAATGAGCGAATTGCGCACGGTGCTGCGTCTGTTGTGCGTTTCGTGCGTAATGTATGCGATTCATCCATGGGGGGGAATTTGCAATGTTCATGACAGGCCCGAATTATTCCAAGGAGAAACCCCACTGCGAAAATGATGAGAATGAGTAAGGAGAAATGACAACATGGTGAAGTTGCGAAGTGGTTGATTAGAAGTGAACACAAAATAAAACTGCCATGGGGAACATTCCTCCCCCTAACGATATAAGAGACATTGCGGTTATGTAGACAGAGAAAATCAAAATATAAAATTTCCCCCACGTAGGTTAAACTCTCATAACAGGGGGACATCCTCAAGAAAGAGAAGAGTAGGCAAAGAGGGAAGGCGACGAATGCGGAGAAAAAGTCTACATGGACTGTGTGATGCATTTGAAGCTTGTACGCTCGGATTGTCGTCTTATTCTTCTTTGAAAAACGAAACGTGTTTTTTCCCTTCTGCTCTTTTCTTTTTTTTTTTTTTTTTATTAACAGTTAATAAAAATTCCTCACCTTCGGAGCGTTAAGAAGAAGAAAGAGTTGAACTTATTTTCTTCACCGCATGATGTAAATGAAGAAGGAGAATACGAGGAAAAATGCTCAGATTCTTGTTTAAGTTCCGATAGGGAATCCCTAAACGAGACACACTCGGACAACCCCACGACGGAAAATGTAACACAATTTGTACACAAATGATAATTTTGTCTTTTATATTTATTACCCCTTTGTGTGTGTGAAGTGTGGCACACTTGCTCCCACATACGTACACAACATTATGCATATTTCTTTTTTTTTTTTTTTTCACTGTCCTTCTGCACTTGTACCCCATTAAGATGACAACGAGGGATTTATCAGGGATTAAAGGTAGCTCTCACTGTTTTTTCCTTTTTTAACCATACTTTGTTTCCTCATTTGATGTAGTTATTTTATTTATTTTTTTTCTTTTCCCTTTTAGCTGATATACACGAGGACATGATACCCAGCGATAGTGAAAGGGAGTCAAGTGGGAAAAATAGCACAGGGGTGAGTGAGGGGATGAGACACCCACATTGTGTCAAATGTGGAGAGTAGAAAAGGGAGCCTTTTGCACAGTTTCGTTAAAGCACTTATGTTTGCATAGAGCAACAATCCACAACGGATTAAAGAACAACACAGGATCAACACAACTCACTGGCCTCCCTGCTGATGATGTCCCGGTCTACTTGTAATTGTGCACATGTGTATACTTTTCCCTTTCCCCTCGCGAACCACATGAAGGCACAGGAATCATTCCGAAACAATGACTCCAATTTAGAGTCCACGTGTAAATCGAATTTTCAAAAGGATGTCCAGGGATCCAGGTCCAAACTGGTTGCAAAAATGAATGACACAATTGGAGGCGAGTGTCAACTGGTAGGTCTACCTTAGGGGTGTCTCCATGTGCCTTGCGAAACCTCCGTCTGGCAAGGTATCGGGTAATCATATAAGTACTTCTACACCTTTGCATGCATCTACATGTACACCCTTCAGTGCCTAATGCCCAGAACGGAATCGCTCCACGGGAACGTGCCGCCTACCATTTATAAGCTGAGTTGTGGTAAACAGAAGTTTTTCACTTGGCACATCCATACTGTGCAAAAAAATTTATTCGCTGGTATAATTGTGTACCTAAGTATTAGCTCAATTAGCTTAATTGGCTTATTTATTTATTTATTTATTTTTTTTTTCCTTTTTAAGAGCACGTTTTTCATTTGATGTGTATCTACGAAACGGTGATACGAAGAGAATGCAGAAAGGTAAGTTGGAGAGAAAAAAATGTTTAAAGGAAACAGGAAAAACTAGTTTGATAAAGTGCGCCGGGACATACAAATTCACACACAAACAAACACACGAACATACATGTCCGAGCGCACCGCTTAAGTCTACACATGCGTCAGCGGCTTTCAAAACACGAGAAAAAAAAAGAAAAAAAAAAAGGAAAAAAAAGGATAAAATAATTTCAAACGGTTTTCAAAGCTTAAATGTGCAAACGCATTAAAAAAAAAAAAAAAAAAAAAAAAAACTTAATTAGGGAATGAAAAAATTGCAAAATGGAAAAACTGCCAGTGGCAAGGAAATTGCCAGATTAGTTCATCACGTAATATGCATGTTTTAATAAATCAAAAGAAGTGCATAAAATGAGCAAAAACGCAATCCATTATTTAAGGACACGAACACTGCGCATTTTTCAAATCCCGTGAAAAAGAATATAACGCGCTGTGCTCCCGTCGGCGCACGAATACATACAAATAGGCGCCTGTGTCAGCGAGTCCCTACTCGCTATTCTCCACACCATAGTGCGCACGTGTACATTTATAAAAGAACTCGTGGTGTGTGAACCGATTCTTTCCCCCCGCAGACGTGCTGCATTTGTCACAGTGAAATCAGCGAATACGATAAAAACGAAATCATGACGAAGGCGAAACGCGAAAAAAAAGATAATGAAAAAAAAAATAAACTCATGTTAAAGGTTATGAAGTTGCAAGCTGATAACCAAGCGCAGGCTGAAAAGTGATAGGGGCACACAAAAAAGGGAAGTGGAGAAAAAGAAAAATGGAAAAAAGGGATGAATCAAAAGTGTTATATATGTCCAATGCGGTTATTCCAAAAGCTCCGTTAATTCCTTCAATATAGCACGATGACTCAGGGGGGAGGGGGGCCTTCACAAATGTTTTCTTATGAGAGACACCAATTCGTTACTCGAGACAAAGTGATCTTTCCTCGCGACTATTGCCTTATTTTTCATGATGATAATTGTAGGTAGGGACTTCACGGCGAATTTTCTGGCCATCGCATCGTTCTGATCTATGTCCGCCTTCAAAATGTATATGCGCTTGCCGTAGTACTTTTCCAGTTTTTCCTGCGAGCGAGAGGTGTAGTTTTCGTGAATAGATAGGGTTCACGTGGACGTTACATATAGGTGTGATGTGCATGTAACGCGAATTTTCTGTTTCCATGGCGCACAAAATTCTACATGTGCTCCGCAAACTACTTGCACTTAGTGTGATATCTTTTTTTTTTTTTTTTTTTTTTTTCCCCCGTTTGAGCTTAAAGAAACGAACGAGGCCATTTGTAACTTTTTCTTTTGTTTAATACCATTTCGGCTCCTTGCATTTTACAAGCGTGGCACCTGTGTGAATTGGGAGGGGGAAAAAATGAAAAGAGAGTGGGCGTGCAAAAAAAAAAAAAAAAAAAAATAAATAAATAAATAAATAAATAAATAAATAAATAAATAAATAAATAAATAAATAAATAAATAAGCGTGCAGGGGAACAAAGGGCACTATTGGATGGGCGTTGTCATACGCCCACATGCAGTAGTACGCGACAACAACATGCACAAATACAGATGTATATACATGCGCATCGTGATGCAAGCATGCACAACGCTCTTTGCTTTACCATTTTGCGAAGAAGTACAAAATGAAAACCGTATTCTTTATATTAACTCCCTGCAAAAAAGGTAAACGTATAGGGGCCATTGAATCATATGTACTTTTGTATATCCCCCACTGCAGTGGTGTATGGATGCAGATAGCTGCATGTGCTTCACAGAAAGGGAAGCGTGCACGTGAATTAAGAAGGGGAGTATCCGTGAAATGAATCATAGAAGTGTTGGCAAAGAGCAGGATGCCCTATTTTGCAGTGTGCTGCGCTATGGGCATGGAACCCCTTTCTGAATTGCTGGTCCTTTCTTACATTTACGTAGCTCCCTCCGCCTTGTTGTAATCTGGAGGTTTTGTTGTACATGCGTAAAAAGTACTTGTCGAATTTGTTCAGTGGAGTTAGGGGACTGTCACCCTGTTGGGCGGGAATATCCTTCGTGCTCGTTACATCGTGATAGGAGAGGAGCCCCAACAAAAGGAAAAATAAAAAAGTTAAGAACTTCATCGTGGATTGGTACGTAGTCTGTTTTAGCAGGAAAAAAAACTTCGAGTTATATATACATACATATATATAAAAAAAAAAAACAAAAAAAAAAAGCTTAAAACAAGCTTAAAAAAAGCTTAAAAAAAAGCTTAAAAAAAAGCTTAAAAAAAGCTTAAAAAAAAGCTTAAAAAAAGCTTAAAAAAAAGCTTAAAAAAAGCTTAAAAAAAGCTTACAAAAAAAAAAAAAAAAAAAACGAATTAATTATAACTAAATGAGAGTTGCTTCTTCCACAAGTGGAAAGGGGGGAAATTATAATTCTACCATTTTTTTTGCAAACATTTTAAATTTAATCACTCCGGTACGGCAAGCACAAAATCGTGCTTAACGCATTTATATCATAGTATTATATTTTTATTTTGATATACACTTGTGCAGCGTACATAGCACAATGTATAGGCTAGCCATCCGCGGTGCTTCGACTCTGCTCGCACGGGTTTCGTAAAATTTAATAACTCAACGATGTAAAAAACACAACAAAAAAAAAAAAAAAAGCCTCTTACCAAATTAAAAAAAATCATGACGCTGTAGTAAAAATCCTCTCATAGAACATACGTATATAATTTTGCTCCTATTTTTTTTCTTACATAAACAAAAAATGTACTGTACATTTTTAAAAGGCACACTTGCATTCGCAAAAAGTTGACGCTTATTACGATTGAAAAAGTTATAATATATACACGCGCGGTACACTGTAACGCTGTGAAATGTTACACGTACTGTAGGCGCTGGATGTGGCGTATACTGCATAAGTACTTAAATTACGCGGTGACAAAATGCTGTACTTGTATTTACCCGTAAATGTATATATACATTTTTAAATGTACAATTGAAGTTGTTAGGAGCAACTATATGCAAAGAAGAAGGAGGAAAATTTCTTCAGTGGATGCAGGAGAAAATTAATATATTAACATATCCGCGCAAAGGTTAGAAACAATCAACAGCGTCAATTTGTGAGGGGTGACGTTCGCCCATCTGGGTGGAACCTTTACACGCGGCTGTTATAAAACGACCTTTCGCTTTATGTGTGAGGGGAAGTATGACACGGAAAAAAAAATGCATCCATATCTGTGTATATGTAAAAGCAGATGCGTGTTAATATGTTCTGAGGAGTGACCACCATATCTGACACACCGTAGTGTATGTTTAATGAGGTGCAAACAGCATTTATTATACTGCCACTTACAACGGGGGCCATTTTGATTACATACCGTGTTGGTATGAATGGAACGCAGGCTTGACAAATTAGTAACAGGTGTCCAATTTCGCGCAAAAGGGGGAAATGCCCCCCGACCAGTTCTGTTCACAGCACTCTTATAACTTCACAAATTTGAGCTCTTAAAAAAATTGCAAAGGTTAAATGGTATGTGTTCACATAAAATATACACCAATTTAGGACAGGCTTCCACCAAAAAAAAAAAAAAAAAAACCACATGCACGAGTTAATAACTTCGGTGGGGATAAACAAAAGCCCCCTTGTTTGAAACTTTTTCTAATTTTTGGTTCTTTAAAAATTTTAAGTTGGAACAAATTGAGAGAAAAAATTTTGCACTTAAAAAAAAAAAAAAAAAAAAATGGGTGGCATTGCGTAAAGGGTGCCAACCACAGAACATACTGGAGCGCACGTACGTACGCAAGTGCATCTACGATGGGCGCGGTGTGTCACATGGCTGAGTGCCCCCTGCGCATGTTTTATGGCCATAATTAAGGGTTCACGCAAATAATCACTTTTTTCGCCAAAAAATGAGGTTAAATGAGAAGGTACTTCCAACGTACACTATGTTTTAACACCTACTCCCCACGTAATACATCACGTTAATTACCATTGCGAAGGGGGCGGTACCCCGGTCTAGTGTAACTTCCCCATCCGTATTACCATAAAGGGAGTGTTTTGTCCCCTTCATACGAATTATTCTGTTTCCCTTTATTATTTTCCTCATCGCGCCTTCTCCAAGAGACCTGTCTATCTCACTTGGACATGGCCTCTAAATTTTTAACCTTCAACTTGTGGTACATCATGCGTCTCTGCGACTGCATATTTTTAATGGAGATGATTTTCCTGTTCATGCTTTGCATGGCATGTGGGTCGAGGGAAAAGAAAATCCTAACTTGGAGCTGCAGGCATTTAATAAAATCTACAAAGTCTAGATAAGAATTGAGATAATCAATGGGTCCATTTTTTAGGGACAATTCAATAAAGGGATAGTAATTCATATTACTGTTTTTTTTTCTCTGGTACAAATTATACAATGCCCCTCCCATTAGACCAAATAAATGTGCTAGCCACGCAATGTTGAAATGATTTCTTCTACAAAAAAGAAATACAAAATTGGTTAAAATGGACAGGTGGCATAGCTGCAGGGATGTCATCTTTAGGTATGGAAGAGGAAATAATGAGACGAAGACCTCATTTGGTTTAACTGTGGACAAAATGTACACAAGGCCCATAACAGCTCCAGATGCTCCTAGCAGTTGATTGCTTCTGTGTAAAAGAATATAGGGGACAGTCGAAACGATGGAAGATAAGGCATATATTTTCATGATATCCTTGTCTGTCATTTTTTTTTCCAACACGCTCGATTTATAATTAAAAAAAAAATAATAATTTGTTTTGTTCTCTTTAATTTCTGGACTCAACAGGGTGTTACTTATGGTATGGAATGCCCACATGTTAAATAAAAAATGAGGAAGAGTGATGTGGCTCATGGAGGCTGTAAAAATCGTGTGGTAATATTTTCTTCTAACATTTTCATATGAGCAGATAAAGTTCCTGCACATGAAGTGGAAAAGTTTTTTATTTCCTGCGACGTCACTTAGACGCCAACATAAAAACACAACTCCGTTGGCGAACAGAAATAAATTACACCCATTGAAAAGATCATTCCTGTAAAAGTTACTCACAATTAGATCTTTCATGTTTTTTTCCTCTCCCCCGATGCTACTTCGCTGGGGAGTGCCGTTGTTAGGGTGGCTTCGCCCACTGCCACTCCCGTCATGGTTATGTTGTTGGTCTCTCTGATTTCGGGCATAGGAAGATTGACCATATTGATCAGGTTTCCCCGTTTTACTACTTTCCTCCTTCCCGCTGCTTCGCTTAACGCGATTTATCTTTATTTCGTATGGGTCTTCCTCACATACGCTGCAAATTCTTGCATCACCTCTGTCGCTTGAGAGATGATCCTTTTTATGGGAAGCTTTTTGACCCTTCACCTTGTGGTCGTCATTTTCCCCCCTACATTCACCGTCCTGTTGCTTTAATTGTTGTCCATCCTTTCCCTGTGCACTAGAAAATATGTTCATCCATTTGATATACTCCATCATGGTTGTGCCAAACCCCCCCTCCCCACCGGTGTGCTCATCCTTGTATTTTGCATCATTCCGCGCGTCTTCGCCGCTGTGGTTGGAGGTGCTATTGGCGGTTCTGCTGGCGTTGGCGCGCAGCACATACACATGGTAAACATAGTCGCACGCAAAAAAGTATACGGAGCTGAAAATGATGAGTTGCAGCTTTTCCTTGAATTTTAAAAACTTCCCCCTATTTATTCTATCTTTTCTCTTGATGGCATTTGTCTGCACGCTTCTACTTTTGGCGAATCCATGCAAATGTCTGCTTCCCTTTACATGAAAAGTGTTCTTGTTCTTATAGTAGCTTGCTCTGAGGTATCTCCCAGCATTGAACATTTTTTTAAGTAGAGCATCTTTATAAAAAAAATCTGACGGTTCATGCGAGAAGGGAAGAAAAATGCATCTTGAGACTCCAAGGTGAAGGATAGGGACTTTGTGACACACAGCCCAAAAAACAAAAATAACATAAAAGGCAGCGCGGAAAGGGATGCTTAGGATAGAAAAGCGTTAAGCTTGCAGCATCTTAATGGTGGAGTGTACCTCAAATTACGCCCCTCTTTTTCCCCAAGTTTGAAGTAAACTGGGATAGAGTTTCTGCTGCTGGCTAAGCAGCAATCTCAGCATTTTTGAAAAAAATACCTGTGCACGCGGAAAAAGAACAACATTTTAGCCAACCTTTCAATTTACGTGTGCAAGCGCCATAGAAAAAATTGCATTCGCGGAAGGTTAGAATGACGTGGCATAACATAACGATAAAAAGGCTCTTGCAGAACATCCCAAATGTGCGCTTAGCAACGTGCGGGGCAGAGATACCGGGACAAAGCGGGGGAAGCCACCTTCTATGTGCACAATTTTTTCATCCCATAAAGAACGCCCTTTTTTTACAACAAAGAAGCATACATAACAATTAATTATGTTCCCGTCCTATTTTTCCTAGGTACGTCCGAACGTTTTAGCAGTTATAACCTCTACAAAATGAGAACCTTTGAGCAAGTTGACACCTAGAAGCAGATACGAATCAGAAGGTGTAGCAGGCAACATAAGTGCCAGCTTTGTAATGCCTTTTATGTTACTACCGCTATAATATGACACTGATTCTAATTTCATCTCATCGCTTTTTGTTATGTTGCGAAAGAGTATGCGCGCACAACATTTACAGTGGCATCACGGTGTTAAGCTGATTATCCCCAGTTGTCATGATTCGTTCCCCCTTTTTTTTTTTTAAGAGCAAAAGGTAAAAGTAGAAATAGTCACTGTGCACGATTTTGGTCCTTTTAGTTAAAACGTAAAAGCAGATGGGGAGAAGAAATTTGTTTTCCTTTTTATGTCTGCGTGTGAATATTACAAAATTAGTTCCCCATGGGGTGGTACATTTTTACGAGCTGTCGACGATCGTGGTGCAATTTGTGGTTAAAAATACTTCCGCTTTGGCAGCAATCGTTGTTCTTATCCAGACATACAGGATATCATTTGTGCTCAACTATATGTCCGCTAATTTTTAAAGATTTTGGAAAAATAGCGATATGCTCTTTTATTTTTAGTTGTGTTCTCGGAAAGCTCAAACCGAGACATGCATATATGCACACATTTAAAAATTAAGTTTGTACATGTTAAAAAAAAAAAAAACACAACAGGAAGTACGTTGTAAAAACGTTTGCATAAAATATATCTGCTAAGAAAAAAGGCTTTCCAAAAATGAGAAGTTCTTCATTTTTCGCTTTATCCGAATGTTCCTGCCATCATTACGAACTCATCAAGTGGTAACAAGTTTTAATTCTATTTTTTTAAATTATTTTTCTGCAATGGGATGCGTGGGTGTGGGGGAAAAACACAACATGAGGTAAACGAAAACCATGTTGCAAAAAACACACAACAAGCAGCAATGTTGCATTTGAAAATGTAGACAAATGCAAGTGCTTCCTCGAAACGTGGGAAAGCAGTTCGGTCTTTATAAAAATGTATTACAAATCTGCGGATGTTGCAATGGACTTTATCCAGGGGGTAGTAAAAAAGCAAAAAACCTGCGGACACCTTTGCGGATACTTTAAAAATGGTCTTGAACTAGCCAAAATAAGGAAAAAAAAAAAAAAAAAAAAAAAAAAAAAAATGTTCAGGTGAATTTTGCTAAAAAGCTGTTCTCGTGTGCAACGTAACAATGGACAGGACATGTTTTTAAAAGAGTGGCATAGCTGTCTGGGGTGCTGGTGAAGAAATGGTAAAACTAAATATGCTCGAGATATATGCAGAGCACAGGGAACTCATAATTGTCTCTTGCTCATTACGTAGTAGAAGGTGTATTTCCCGAAAAGGAAATTTCTGAGGAAACCGTATTTCACATTCGGGTGAAATTCCTTGGGGAGCTCAAAGGCAACTTTCTTTATTTCACAAATTTCATAGGGCACACTGACTTTGTTATTCATTATGTACTTTTGTTTTTAAGAACGTAAACACGAAAAAGGGGATACGGTTTCAAATGGGGGGTGGGCAGCAATTATTTCTTCTCGTTGTGTGAGAAAACATAAAGTTCTCATAAATGTTGTTAAAAAATCTCAATTTTCACAAAACTGGCCTATATTTCTTTGTTTACATTTTCCCCGCACAGTGTATAAAAATATACACACTTATGTAGGACCCTTTCAGGTGAATTTTGTGAACTTTGCGAATGTCCCCTTTTTGCGGTCAATTATTCATTCATAGGAGGGGAATGAAATTGGTGGGGGAAAATACATTACGGCGGTACAGCATTAAATGTGTTATCAGGTTTGTAAGTTTGTTAATAGAAAAGAAAAAAAGGAAAACATAAGTTTAAAATGTGCTAACTTAATAAAACGAAAAAAAAAAAAAAAAAAAAAAAAAAAGCAAAAACAATTCAAAATTAAGCAAAATGCGGAAAAATAAGCGAAACGAAAACTAAGAAAAAATTATCACTTGACATGGGGTACCTACGATTAAGTGCATAAACTGTTTTATTCGAAAACGTTGCGCTTTAAAAGGTTTCGCACATATGAATGGCACAATTTGAGGAGGAGCCCAAAGAAGGAAAAAGTATGAGAAAACATGATGACAACAAGGCACGCACTTTGTCGCCCAAATAACCATACGATAAATCATGCCGTGCAAAAAATTTAAGCATATGGGGCTATTCAAAAGGAGTGCGCCCAATGAGCTATGGATACAGGCGCGTGTGCACATAAATGTACATGCACACATATATACGCATGTGTGCCTTCAGCAGCCTGCTTATGCGTATATACACATGTGCGTGAAACTAAAAATAACATGTAAGGCATACTTCCATGAGGATGTTTCCCTTTTTTCCAATTTTGGCTGGACAAGGCACGGGGAAGGAGTTGCCGCTGACGGGGGGAGCCACATGGCCACACGTACATGTGCACCAATGTTGCGCAGATCAGTTTATTCGTGTAGCGATCAACCAGTTATCCAAGGAATCAATTTACTTATTTCTGTCTGCTCCTGGGTTGGCCATTTCGCACTGCTCGCAGGCAGACAACCGCGCTCTTGCATCGGTACTGGATACACTAACGTGTTTAATATCTATACCGCTACGCCACGACTTCATTGCTCCACTAACACCACTGTGTCACTGCGCATTTTCGACCTTCCTGAACCCTTTAAACACCTCGCTATTAGTGGGTGTGTCCAGTTCGCTGATGTCCTTTATGTTGTCATTCCATTTTATGGAGGCCTTGTTATTATGATTAATTCCTTTGTTAGAAATGGTGACAGTTGAAGACTTGGGTTGCTCAACCAAGTTTGTATTTACCTTTTTCGGTTTCTTCTTCGTTTTTTCGTATGCGTCAACATTCTCCTCCTCGGTGACTGTTACGTCGGACAAATCCTGGTGGAAACGAATTTTCCTTTTTTTCTTAATTACAATTCGTTTCCCTTCGTTCGTTTTAATCTCCTTCGTGTACATGACATTGTCCATTTTTTCTAAGACTGCGGGGTGAAGAGTGGAGAATGGGCAAGCGACTATGCAGTGAGGCGGAATAGAGTAGCACACTGAAGGTAAAAAAGAAAAAAAGGCAACCCCCTAACTGGGCACATATGAGGGCACGGAATGCTGGGGCACTTACTCTGTTTCCTTCTGTGCTCGCCCTCTAAGTCTGCGGGGTACTCGCCCTTTTTCAAGGCACCTTCATTATAAGGCCCACCAACAGTGTGATGATTCCTCTTGGACAATTTTGTATTTTCAAGTTCTGTGAACGGTTCATACATGGTGTTTTTAATTCTCTTCTTGGAGCTGGTGTTACTGCTTGTGCTGCTATCTGACTCGAAGTCACTCAACTTCATATGTCCTAATGTTTTGTCAAATAGCAGTTTCTTCCTTCGTAGTAGTTGGCGCTCTCTTTCTAACTCTAGCTTTTCTCTGTTTGTAAGTTCATTGTTAAATTCCTTCCCCTTGTAGGTGAACTTTTTTAAAAATATGTCTTCCTCCAATTGTTCCATTTCTTGTTTGTGCTTAAGTTTGACAACTTCATTGTCGCTGTTGTACTCTTCGTTGTTTATGAATTCGTTAAGTCTGAGAAGTGGTGTGTGGGGAGGGAGTGGATAAAGTGGGCAGCACGGGATACTAATTGAGGGATCAGTCGTGGGTGCCTATTGAGTGAATCCACGGAACACCCCTCCCTTGCGCTGCAATTTGCACCGTCTCAACCACCTCAAGGATGTTCAGTTATATATGCAGCAAAAGACCTACCCCTCGCTGTTGTACTGTTCGTCATCATCGGAGTCATCCGCCTGGTCCTTCTTCCTCTTTAGCAGCTGCGCCTTCTTCCTTTCTTCCGGGTCTTCAATATTTTCGTCGTCACTCTCCTCTGCTTCTAACTCGAACACCTGCTTCATCTTGCCGTCCCGTAGCCTTTGCATAAAAAAAAAAAAAAAAAAAGGAAAATACAAATTTAGTGCGCCATCGTGCATTTAACGCAGCTTACAGCCGATTGTACGTAGTGTACTGTCCGCATGTATCCAAAACGCACAAGATGTGGGAGTACAAACAGGATTTGCAAATTGCCCTCAAACGTGAATTGCAAAACTATCGCTTCGTCCTTCTGTGTACCTTTTCTTTTCCTTTGCCAATTGTTCCTTTAAAGCCTCATATAGGGGGTTGTTCGTTTTGTCTGCCTGTTCGTTCTTGGACTCATCTTCCTTTGTGTGTTCACTTTCCTTTTCGTCATCGTGGCCATCGTCGTCGCCGCCATCATCAGCGTCGTAATCGATGTCGTCTACCCCAGGAACATGTTTCTTTTTTAGTTTTTTTATTTGCACACTTCCGTCTTGCTGCTCACCATGATCGTCTTGAGCCCCATCATGGTCCTTAACCCAGTCAGGATTGTTACTGGAAGTGGAGAACTCTTGGTTGGCCTGCTGCCCCTCCTGCTCAGTGGACCCACTTGGTGCACAATCTTTTCCATTTGTTTGGTCCACGTGGGATCCCTTATTCTTGTCATTATCCTCCTGCCTGTCATATATCTCATTAATCGCTTCGTCGTCTAATACTCTCTTATTTTTTTTTTTTATTTTAATGTATTCTGTGTCTTCTTTTTCACTGTCTAGAGGGGGTTCTTTACTCGGTTGTTCCTCCTTTTGCTTTGCGTCAACGCTTCTGCTTAGTTCTCCTGCGGTGGACATATCCTTTTCTGTTTCTTCGCTCTCCCTTTTTTTAATCGCCTCCACATTTTTGCTGACTTTTTCTCTACTCAGAAAGGACGTCAGTTTTAGCTGTTTAGAGTCCTCATTGGAACAGAACTTTTTAATTTTTTTGGTGAGAAAATCGTTTTTCTTTTTGCTGTCAATTATTTTTATTTCGATGGGCAATGCGGCGGCATGTTCACCCGGTTCGTTGGGGGCGAGGGGGGGAGATTCCTCTTGTTGGGCAGCGTCACATTTGGAGTTCCCGTCCTGTGGCGCGTCTACCTGCATCGCGTCTACCATCATCGGGTCCATGTTCACCGCCTCTATCGTCACCGGTTCTATCTTCACCGCGTCAATCATCACCGGTTCTGTCTTCACCTGGTCTATGTTCACCGGCTCTATCTTGACAGGGCCCATCTTCACCGCTGCTCCCTTTTGCGCGTCCCCCCTGGTGAGGGAGAACTGGTTGCTCTCGAAGCTCAACAACTCGTCCTCATCGTCACGTAACAAATTGGCCATATTGAAAATGCCAAAGTTGTTCAATTTGTTTTGCTCATTCCACAACTCCTGATATGGCTCTAGCAGCCAGGGATGTGTATTCAAAGAAAAACTGACGGGTAGATTATCACTATTTTTAATAATTTTAACAAGGCCATAATTTTCAGCGTAGATTCTTCTTTTATTATATTCTAGCTTTTTGGTGATGCTTGGAAATTGCAAAAAGTAATTTATTAAGATATTTTTCTCGTCTATATTTCCTGGTGGCTTGATATAAACGAGCTGATTATTATTGGACTTGTAGAACTCATGTATATTAGGGTTTGAATATTTTGGCCCTTCTCCAAAATACTGGGCAGCTGATTCGAGTAGAGAATACACGTTGTAAATTTTTTTTTCATCTTTTTCTTTTTTTTTTTTTTTCATTTCTTCTAATGCTTTTTTTTTTTTTTCTTCATCTTCGAGAATTTTTTTGTGAACCATTTCATTATCGTCTGTGTGTTTATTGTTTTTTTTTTTTTCATCATTTTCTTCCCCTTCTGGTTGCTCCTCCTCATTTATTTCATTTTTTTTTGTACTCATTTGTGCAGCCACTTCACCTTTGCGCATACTGGCCTCACCACTTTTATTTGCTACATCTGTCTTTTGGGATTTTTTTAATAATTTTAATTTTTCCCAAGGATTTCCAACTTTTTCTCTTATTGGTTCATTTTTTTTTTTATTGATGTGAGAGAACATGGGGTGCAAATTGAATCCTCTAATGTCTGGAGAGAGATCATTTGGAAGAGCGTACACATTTGGGGCCTGCTCTTGAATGTAATTCATGGAGATACATAAATTAAGGTAAAAGAACAGTTCCCTCCTTTTTACCGGATCTAGGATGTTCAATTCTTTTATTTTGTCGTTGTTTTCTGAGATGGACGATAGGTCGAATATATTTTTCCTCACGTAGGAGATGTACTCCTTGACTAATTTCACTTGTTGTGTGCAGAGCGCAGCGAGGTGGTCCACTATTATTTGGTCCTTTTTCTTGGTGAATATATTCTCCAGGAGGGTGTTCACCGGGCCAGCTCCCTTTTCTGAGGCGACCCCTCCGCCTCCGTTTTCCGCAACGCCGGTCACATTTTCGGAAGCGCTCGCAACATTTTCAGGCACACTAGTCACAATTTCTGGAACACTCATCACATTTTCATGATCGCCCCCCACGTTCGTTGCTTTTCCCTCAAGGCCCATTTTCCCCAACGTGGTGAAGCAGCTAATTATGCTTCGGCGCCTGTTCCTTGTCAACCTGTCGAACCAGAAAACCTCGAGGTTCTTCAAATCCTCCCTGCTGGTATTGTCAATGATTATGTTGTGTTGGTTCAGGAACACCTCCCTTTTGTACTGGGGAATAATTACCTTCAAGCTTTCAATTATGAACTCCTCAATGTCGTATTCCTTCTTATGGAAGGACATGCAAATTAGCTTTAATTTCACTTTGTCTTCATCTGGCTTGATGTCCTCCATCAGTTTGGAGTTTTTCATTTTCTTTTTTCTGTCCTTCACTTGTGCCGAGTCGTCTTCATCTTTATCTCCCTTAAATTCGTTACCCTTTAATTCGCTCTTCTTTTGGGTAGTCTCTCGTGCCTTTTTCTTTCTTCGGGACTTCTTCCTCTTTTTCTCCTCGTCGCTCTCTCCTTGGGAGAGCTCGTCTTCCTCGTCTGGTTCACTGCCCGAGTGGTCATCGGAGTTGTATCCCCCGTAATCATCGTCTTCTTCCTCCTCTTCATCTTGGTCCTGATCATCGCCGTAGCTCACATCGGAGTTGGCGCCGTGCTTCTTGTCCTCTTTGGCCTTTTTGTTCTGCTTTTTTTTCTTCTTCATCTCCTTCTGGCTTTTTTTGCCCCCTTGCCCTGCTTCCCCCCCAGGGGCCGTTTCGTGTCCATAGTCATCAGGCGGGTAATTTCCATCGTCATCCTCCTTCCCCTGCCCTTCATGTGCGACACTCTTTACGATAAAATTCTTTTTACTAATTTTATGAACCTTATTCTGTTCATCCGCCTCCTGAGTGTCACTTTCATCACTGCATTTTTTCAACCTTCTCAATTTTTTTTTTTTCTTTTTTAACCCATTTTCATCATTATTACCGCTGGGGTACTGCTCCGGTTCCTCAGCTTCCGGAGGGACATCATCCCCATTTGCTGCGTTCATGTTTGGAACGGCATGTGTCTCATCACTGTCCTCATTGCTGGCCTTTTCTGATGCCCCTTCGGGTACTGTGCGGTGCTTTGAGTCATCCTCCGCCCCTGCGTCGGTAGCTGCATCGGATGCTGCCTCCGCTGTATCACCTCCACCGTCGCACTGAACATTTTCCTTCACATTGGCGTATGCGTTGTTTTCAGTCCCCTGTTCTTCATGTCCTTCGTTGTCCTGCCTCCCTTCTCCATCCTCATCTTCACTGTCTTCTTCATAGGAAAATTTTTTTTTTTTTTTTTTTATATTTAAAATGTTCATATTGTGTTGGAAGTGTCTACAGTGCTTTCCCGTAAAAGTGGTGGAAGAAAATGTCTTAGGACATTTTTAGTGAAGCAAGGAATGTGTCCCTGTTTCGCTTATTCGTCTGACATAGGCACAGGGGGTGGGTGAAGGATAGCCACAGCTTGAATTGATGTCTGTGCAGTGAGCTTTTGCAGAATATTCAAATCAAACTAGTATTGCCGTAACCGCAGGTTTGCGTGGGGGTAGCCGTTATGAATATGTGTGGAATTCGTGTCTAGTTTCGCACGGGGTGATTTGAAGGATGTGCTTCCTGTCGGAGACAGATCTAGTTGAGTGGGTATGCGTGTACTCTATCTCGTATACATCTTCACATGTGCATCCGTGTGACTAGCTCCACGCACACTCTCGTTTGTATACAATGCGGTGTGGTAAAATAAGCCAAGTGTAAATAGCTTTTAAGTCAAAAGAGACATACGCTTAATTCTATATTTTGGGGCAAAACAAAAGGGAAGGAGAACACATAAAATAAAATGAACATTTAGGTGGATAGTCTTTTATAGTTATATCATACCAAATCTTAGTCCTCCCATTTTTCTCTCTCTCTTTTTTTTTTTTTTTTTTTTTTTTTTTTTTTCAAAATTGTAAATGATGATACATTAAATGGCTAAAAAAAAAAAAAAAAAAAAAAAAAAAAAAGATTTTCACATAAATTGAATGGAAGTATATATAACAAGTGTTTATCTTAATTTCAAATGAGAAAAGTGTGTACGTCAGAAGTGAATGGCCATTTTTTTTTTTTTTGTATGATATCATTTTCGGGGAAATGGCACAAGGTGGGGTATATGAAAAGCGGTACTCGCGTATTATGTATGCAGATTTTGGTGTGCTTAATTTTGGAAAAAAAAAAAAAAAAAGAGGGGGGGAATGATTTGTTTTACTTGGCGGCGCTGGGGTTGGCTGGCCCACCGTTTGTTCGTCCGCTTGTTTGCTAACCCGTTCGCTTCCCTTTTTTTTTTTTCACTACTACATGGGGGGGACATGTTTGCCCAAGGGGCATTCGCCTTGGGGATCCCGGATACGGTCGCGGGTGAAATAAATGCAGTGGGGAAAATTGCTTTTGTGCAGCGATGGGAGTCACCAGCGTTTCCCCGTCCGATTTGTGCTAAGCATTTTGCAAGTAGGCATTCGCAATGAAAGTTATCACACGATGGTGGTGTGTATATATGGCATTCATCGAGCGATGAAATAACGTTAAGTTACATTTGTTCAGTTCTTTCTCTTCACCAGATAGGCCGTTCCCCTCTCGTCAAGGTTTTACACCTGAGTAGATATGCAGTCGGGTGTGTTCCCCTGTTGCACCAGCCCCAACTGCGCGTGTAACTGAAAAGCGGTACCATAGATGCATATGCCCAAGTGCATACATACGAAGATACCTCTTTGCCTGGAGGTGCACAAGGGGCGAAGCATGCCAAACGGGGGATAACTCACAAAATGGGATATTTTTGCTCATGCGTTTTTTTTGTTCCGAAAATGAAAAATCCTGAAAAGGAATATCCTGCTGCTTCCTCCTACGTTTGAATAATAAAAAAAAAAAAAAAAAGTGGTAAAGAATGATGTGCCAACAGGAGCCACCATTTTAATCAGCCTGAATCTTGTACAAGCCGTTTTTCCTAATCGATTTTTCAACCCCACTCGAGGCATTCACTTCATGTGGCCTCTTCCCCACATGTAGGGAGTTCTCACTATGCTTGCCATGCGCAAAGTGTGGATAAGGCATTCATATTAGGTTAGGATAACTGGAAGCATTGCAAGTACACAGAATATAAGCTGGTAGAGGAGTAGCAGCATGCAGCACTCACTTTACGTCAGGGCTGAATCTCCTAGAGGTAGAAGCGGCAGACGGGTGTAAAAAAGCATACACTGTGGTATAATCCTGTGGGGGTCTACCAGACGCAGGTCCGTGATTACTCCCCTCGGCCATGCGCTGCTCACCTCAAAATAGCTAAGTAATAAACGTGCCCCCCCAAATGAAAAGGCATACACACGAAGAGTGAGAGACCTAGGAATGGCATGGAACAGGTGGATAACCAATCTCACCAACTAGAACACACAAAACAATAAATACATTAATTAAAAATAATGCAGCTGCGGAAATGTGTAATCACATGGTGCGTAGTCCTACTAACGTCACATCTAAAGGGCAATTTTGTGAAATGCAAAAGTTTAAAATATAGTAATCCATTTGGCCAGAATACATCATGGGGGAGCAGACTGCAGAACAACACTAATAGCTCAAAGAATAAGCTAAAAAGGGCGGTAGCAAATGGTATGATATTACCCCAAATGAAGAAAAGTAATACACACAAGAACATGAACAGGGTTACAAATCGACTATGCACGATTAATCCACACAATAATCGCTCCAACATGTGTAGCTTGGAACCATCCAAAAGCGTTAAGAAACACATGAGGACAAAGTACAACATGGGGAATGCAAACTACAGAATACAGAAGGAGTTACATAACTTCCTGAATAACCCCCCTATTAATTGCACCCTAGATGTACACCCAAATAATATCCGCATCTGGATTGTGAAATATGTAGGACTGGAAAATAGTATATACGCTAATGAAGTTTACAAACTTAAGATAATATTTCCAGATGATTATCCTTTGAAGCCCCCCATTGTATACTTTTTACAGAAGCCACCTAAACATACTCATGTGTATTCTAATGGAGACATATGTTTAAGCCTCCTCGGTGATGACTACAACCCTAGTTTGTCCATTTCGGGCTTAGTCCTATCCATCATATCGATGTTATCTTCTGCTAAGGAAAAAAAATTGCCCATTGACAACTACACACATGCGGATGCGAAACCAGGGAGCAGCCAGAACAGTTTTCTCTACCATGATGATAAGTGTTGAGGGTGGACATGCGGCTCGTGCGTTTGGAGCAGTCCGTCTGCATGTATACGTGAATGCGTTTTTTTTTTTTTTTTTTTTTTTTTTTTTAAATATTGTGATCCATTTGAAACATCACCCTTTTATGTGTCAAAACGAGTTTGTTTTGGGGTAGCTACGGGCTTCTCCATCACCACACAGGCATTCCCGATGGGTAATTTTGTACCCATCTGGTGGATGTACATAATATGCGCATATTTTTGGCACCTCTGCCAATTCTGCGTCTTTTTTCTTTTTTGAAACGTCGCGTAGTTCAGTTCATTTACTACTTACACGCACAACCGACTTGTGCTCGTTTGCGGAGGCCACTGGGGTTTGTTCAAACTCAGTCGTTTTCATATTTTGCAACGCGAAGTAGCCACAAGAGCGTCTTAAAAAATCGCTATTTACGTGAATACAGAAGCTTATATGTATAACCCTTATCCATTTTGTTAACAAAATAATTGTTGAATATAACGTCATGTAATGAACTAACGAGCTGCATGTAGATGTTGTAGTAAGGAACAAAAATGGCGTAGTTCAGGGAGCGCGGGGGGGTTTGTGTTCCCCTTTTGCACATCTGCCCTATTTCGTTCCCTGCCTTTGTTCTTTTTTTTGAGTGCACGCCTGTGTGCATTTGTAAGAAGCACATTTGGCACAATTTTTTTCACACTCATTTTTTTTTTTTTTTTTTTTAAAGAACGAAATGGGGAATAAATCGCCGTGGAGCAAACAACACTGGTGCTAATTCGTTGTTAGTTTAGCGCTGCTTCCAAAGGGGTAGCAGAAAAATAACAGAAGCATTCAACGAATGAACAAAGTGAAATGCCAAATTAAGCCAAGCGAACGGGAAAAGTCAAAATAAAATACTCATCACATACCGATTTGTGGGATTTTCCTTGTTGCCATTTATTATGTGTCTACTCGTTTCTGTCAACTTGAGTTAAGCACAGTGCACACAAAACACACACGAAAAAAACAAAAAAGAAAACCTCCCCCAATTGCAAATATTTACCCATAAAATGGGTGTAAAGACAGGGTATAATTAAAAATGTTCCAATGTTGAAACAAGGCAAGGCGGAATATTGCCAATTAAATGTAACTCTTTTCAAGAAAAAGCATTGAACACACACCTTGCCGTTTTAATTATGTTTGCACATGTCTTTCTGATTATTTTGCCTCTCTACAGAATAGCAGTTGTCCCAAGGCGGACAGTCGAGTTGGCTGAAAAATGCCGCCTAGAAATTACGCGTGTGGGGGGCAATCAGTTAATACACACATGCAAATGTTAAAGTGGAGAAAGTGAAATACCCACTGCAAAATGCATTTTTTGCAAAACAAGTTATAGTTGTAAATGGCCGCGTACAAAACAGCTTTTTTTTTTTTTAGCTGCATTCGCTCGATGTTTTTTTTTTTTTTTTTTTTTCCCATGTGCAGGCAATATTTTGGCATATTTTTGCACACCCGCATGATCTGTTCATGCAATTTGCAATAACGTTTTTTTTTGTTTTTTTTTTTCTGTTCATCCATTTCGTCATACAGTTGTGATGTAACATTAGAGTTGTCAGGACAAGTCAATAGCGCAGCTTCACTTCCCATTTTTGTTAACCTACCTCGTTGCGAATAAGTGGGTACATCGTTTGGCACACATGGCAAAAACGAATTTATGACGCGGTGTGCACCTGCGTTTTGTACATTCGTATTTTCGAACGCGAGTATTTTCTGGCATGGAGTTTGAAAATGGACATGGGGCAGCATTCGTAAATCCGTGTCAAGAGTGATTGTATGTGCGTACTCATGGGAATGTTTGCGAAATTGTATATATATGTGTATACATAATTGCAATTGTAATTGCAAATTTAAGTACGAGTTTGTACGTATGCGAATATGCACATGCACGCTGCTTCACGCCTATACGAATATATGCACTACGCATTCATGCAGCGATTCCCCCGTCTGCACATGTTCGTATGCGACCCCCTTCTCGCCCCCTTCGCCATTTTTTAAAAAATATATTCACTTAAGAAACGTTTGTGCAAAATATATCGCTTCGTTTTCTATATTTTTTCCTA